GAAAAGGAAAAGGAAAAGGAAAAGGAAAGAGAAAGGGAAAGGGAAAAGGAAAGGGAAAGGGAAAGGGAAGGAAAGGAAAAGAAACCTCCAGGGAAGTTAGCGGGGTGACATTGCCTCACTCTCCTCTTGACACAGCATCTGTCAATCATTTTACGCCAAACCCAGGTTAGAAAGCAGATTAGAAGACATCAAAATAATCAGTGTGGAAACAAGCATATATTTGGCCCTCAGTAGAGAGAAATGCCCTCTCTATGACCTGATGTGCAATGTCAGTAAAGGACTGTCCCAAGTCACATTGGTCTTCCTTCTCCCCCCAACCTCTCCCACCTCCTCATTCTAACACATTCATTGTCAGAATTCTGCTGAGTAAAAAAATAGGATTTATAGGCCAATACTAATGTTTGACAAGATTTACTCTCATGTAAGTGTGTATGTAGTATGTTTTGAAAACATACTTTTTATATCTCTTGAATTTGCTCTAGTTTGCAATTTCCAATCCCACCAACTCCTTCCCCCACAACCAAAACATTATCATAATCATCATCATGATGTTGATTTTTATTTAAAATGAAAAATATGGAAATTACTTCATTAAAATCATAAGAGGTTATAAACCCCTATCAGAGATTTTATGTCTGTTTTTTTTAAAAAAAAAATATGAATGCACCCTCATGCCCACCTTATTTGCAGGGATTTTCAGCCTAGAATTACAGATAACTCCTATAATGAGAGGTTGTCTATGGGAATTGGGAAGTTATATTCCAGAGTCCCAGAAAACCATCAGTTAGAAGAACACACCTGAAACTATGGATATCCAAACCACTTTACTGCAGATAAAAAGGCCTGGTCTATTTGTACTAACAACAGATTGGCAAAACTCTGGATAATGAGGCTGAAGATAAGGAGGACCATCTGTATGGTTCTAGTAAAGTTTCAATATCTGAGCTGAATGCCTAGTTTAATGAAAGTGATCTCACCTCCCAGGGTAGCTGACAGCAGGAAATGGGTCCCATACTTCTTGATAAGGTTTTCTGTGATCTGCTGAAGAGTTGGTCTACGTCCTAGTAGCCTTACGTTTCGGAAAAATTCAGGGGCGAGAGGCAACGGGGAACCAAGAAAATTCTTCCTCTCAACGGCTAAGTTGTTTACCTTCCAACGGCCAAATTCCCTGAAAGGAAAGAAATCTCATTTTAAAAATGCATACTTTAAAGAATTTTTTTCTTTTATAAACTTCATCTCCTTAGGCAAGGTACAATGAGGAGGTTCACTCATGAAACTCCATCAAGAACTAAATTGGGGATAAGCAATGCAGAGCCTTCAAGTTATTTTGGATTTCAACTCATAGGCAGCATATTCAACGGCAAGAAATAGTAAGAACCAGAGTCCTTAACACTGGGGAGTGGAGTGGGGGTGGGCATTAAACTGCCTACCCCTGCATTAGTCTCTTAAAATAAGCCACAAGTAAATTGGAGGGAGATTGTTTTATTATAAAAAATAAAAGCACAGACTTTTTTTTTTTAAGTTTTAATGCAGTTGGTTTCCTTCATTTTATACAATGCAACTATCATCAACAAGCTGATTTAGTTTCACAGACTAAATTACTTGCATTATGTTCATATGATTGATTAGAATGCCTTTTATTTGTCTTATGTTTGCAAAACAAAGCTTTTCCTTGTCAAATTTTTCTCCCATGTAAAATTTCAAGGGAAACCTGCCATGTTGTTAGAAGTGGACTGAAACTTCGGTGCTCATTAAATTCCCTCATTTTTGGCTCCTTGCAGAGCAACTTGTGAAATCCACTGAATTGCAATTGCTCTCAGTTACCTTCCATAACATTGACAGGTAACTCTACGTAATTAGCTGCAGAGTAGTATGGCCTCGTTCCAACATAACATAGGATCCCTGACTCTAGGGAGAAGCAATGGAGGGCAAGTGACAAAACGTGTGCTATAATTTTGTGATGAAAACGCTGTCCATTATGTGGTTGTGTGTGATGTTGCAATACTAATAACAAAGGGCAGAGCTTATAGAGCAATCTTATGTTGTACATTTTATCATTTGGCATCATCTTGGTTAGAAATGGACATCTCTGTCCCTGATCAGAAGAATACACCCCTTATAACCAGGTAGTAAGGGCAGTAGGAATCCAGGGAAAAACATTGCCCCTGCCTGCCTGGGAGATCCTGTAAAGGAACCAAGAAAGATGAAGATTCACACTCATACCAGATATGATTCTCGTTTATTCTCTCTGTATGACCAAACCAAACCAAAAAACACACTTTTTGGTACTGCTAACTCACTTTGGTATTTAATCCACATTTATTCAGCACCAATTCATTCTTGACCCTATCCCTTCTTGTTTTACTATACTTTTCTTATATCTCTGCACTCTATTTTATCTTATACTATTTTGTTCTACTTTTTATCTTTACTCTATCTTACCTTACTACATTTATCTATTTTATCTCACTGTAGCCTATTTTATCCTATTTTACTGTACCTCACTTCACTCCATTTTATTGTATCACACTCTGGCTGATGCCTATGTTTTGATATGGTTAAATGACTAATCAATAAAGTATACTACTACTACTACTACTACTACTACTACTACTACACACTTCTTCACAATTCAATTTAATGTTATGGTCTCCTAACTTACTTCCATACAACAAAGCAGGCACACACATACAGTAAACAGTAATTTTCACTTCATTCTTTGCAACAGATTGCATATTACACATGATCTTTCTTTTAGCATTTGTACAACTTAAAATTTTCCATCTTAGTAAATATTCTAAGAAGAAAATACCCAAACTCATCTATGGTAGCCTCCCCCCACCCCCGCACATTTATAACTTGATTTATTTTTTCTTTTTCTATTTTTCATTTTCCCTATCAAACAAACTACCTTGGTCTTTGATATATTAATTTTCAAATCAATTCTTCTCATTACTTCATATAATTTATCTAATATTTGCTGCAAATTATTCAGGTTTTGAGTCAACAAATATGCAGGTACATTCATATCCCCAATCAACACTTCTAATGTCATCATTAACATTTCTTATACATTTATCCATAAATACTTTGAACAATCAAGGGGATATCACAGTTCCTTCTCTTACCCTGGGCTTATTGTTGAACTATTTGCTAAGCAATCCATTTCTTCTCACATTTGCTTTCCTTCCATCCTAGAGAACTCTTATTGCATTCAGCAACCAACTTTCACCTCCATATTTGTGCAGTACGTGTGCCTTCAAGTCAGTGTTGACTCCTGGCAACTGCCTGGATAAGCCCCTGCAGTTTTCTTGGGAAGATTTTCTGAAGTGGCTTGCCACTGCCTCCTTCCTAGGGCTGAGACAGAGTGACTGGCCCAAGATCACCCAGCTGGCTATGTGCCTAAGACAGGACTAGAACTCACCATCCCCAGGTTCTAGACTAAGGTTCTACTACCTTAATCACTATACCAAACTGGCTCTCTTACATTTGTGTAGAACATTCCATAATCCAAGCCTATTTACTTTATTCTATATTTTCACTAAATCAACAAACTTATAATACACTTTCTTTCTCACATTAATGAATTGCTCAATGACCTGAGGAACAGTAAAAATTGGTCAACGTACCTCCTACCCAGCTTAAAGCCACACTGCATTTCCCAAATTTTGCTCATTTTTACCACTTCTTCCCTTTCATCAGAATTTGGCCAAACACCTTCCCAGGCATATTTAATACAATGACTCCCCACCACCACCCCCACAACTCATTTTCTCAGTCCCTTCCTTTCATACAGGGGGACAGCATTCTTCCAATCATCAGGCATGTTAAATAAATTGTACAGCCACTTCATAAGCAAACCACACCCACAGTTTAACATTTCCCCATAGTTAGTCTACCTGTACCAGCAATCTGACCATTTTCCAACATATTCACAGCAGTTAAGAGTTCCTTTTAATCATTCTTTCTTTAATTATAATACTGATAACATTAATTTTAATTCCATCCTTTGACTTATCAGTAATATTCCCATTCAAACCTTTAGAATATTCCTTTCCATGTTCCCTTACTTCAGTTTCATTCAAAATCATTTCATCACTTCTATTGTTTAATTCCAGTAACTCCACTGAAGCCTCGCTGCTTAACCCTCTTCACCTACTTCTAAAAGGTTTCTTAAAATTTTAATCAGTATTGCTCCCCATTTTCTTCTAATCTTAACTCTTCCTTGATCTCTTTGACTACATTCTTTGCAATTATCATTTTCCTTCATATTCTTTTACATACATACATACATACATACATACATACATACATACATACATATATATATATTTCTCAGCCCCAGCCTCTTTCACCTCATCATTACACCAAACACACTTGCCCTTAGCATAATTCTATGCATGTCTGTATCATCATTTTTCATTATTTTCTTTGGAGGTCCTCTTCCCATTCCTCATATCCACTTTCCATTAGCAGATTAATTTATCTTCCAAAGTTTTTTCATTCCAGATCCATTGTTTCTCCTTCTGCAGTTGTTCTACTTTCACTCTTGGTTCCCCCACCATGACCACCACTGCTTTCCCTTTGTTCTACCCTTAACGCTACCAAGAAAGGATCTGTCCTACATTCACAATAACAGTCTCTCTCATCAGCTTTGTGTTATTCACTAATTGTCTTAATCTTTCATCATAAACAGTTTAA